GCGCTGTAGCTCAAGTGGTAGAGCGCTCGCCTTGAGCTGAAGAGCTGAGGGACAGCGCCCAGGCCCAGAGTTCAAGCCCCACAACCGACAAAAAAAAAAAAAAGAGATAGAGGCATTGCTCAAAAAAGGATGAACAAGAACTAGAGTGAGACTGAATGCATGTTTCAGTCCACCATACCTATATATTTAAAAAAATAAAAAGTTTCACCCACTCAGTACTCTTAGCCTTGTGAAACAAAGATAAATGGAAAATAAAGCCAGGTGCCGGGTGGCTCACACCTGTAATTCCAGCTACTCAGGAGGCTGAGATCTGAAGACTGCAGTTCGAAACCAGCCTGAGCAGGAAAGAACGTGACTCTTATAAACCACTCTCAATAAACCACTCAGAAAACCGAAGTGGCACTGTGGCTCAAGTGAGAGCACTAGCCTTGAGCTCAAGACAGCGCCCAGGCCCAGATTTCAAGCCCCATGACCAACAAAGAAAAAAAAAAGGGGGGGATGGGAAGGTGGCTCAGTGGTAGGGTGCTTGCCTTGTATGCATGAGGCCCTGGGTTCCATTCCTCAGCACCACATAAGCAGAAAATCTAGAAGTGGCGCTGTGGCTCAAGTGGTAGAGGGCTAGCCTCTAGATGAAGAGCTGAGGGACAGTACCCAGGCCAGGTACCAAGAAATTAAAAGAAAAAAAAAGAGGGAAAGAGGGAAGGAAGGGAGGGGAAAAAGGGGAGGGGGGAGGGCAGGCCAGTTCAGACAGCCCTTAATCATATTTCTCCTAAACTACCAAAAGTGGAGCTGTGGTTCAACTGCAAAGTCTTGAACAAAAGCTCAGGGACAGAGTTCAAGCCCCAGGACCAGCCACATGCACACACATAGAAAAATGCTAGCCAGGCACAGGAGGCTTGTGACTGCAATCCCAGCTAAGGATGAGTTCTGAGGATTGCAGTTCAAAACCAGCCTTGGCAGTAAAATCTGAGACCAAAAAGCACCAGGCTCTGGTGGCTCACACCTGTCATCCTAGATACTGAGGAGGCTAGGGTCTGAAGATCACAGTTCAAAGCCAGCCCAGACAGGAAAGTATGAGGCAAACTAGAAGTAGCACTGTGGCTCAAATTGGTAGAGCACTGGCCTTGAGTAAAAAACTCAGGGACAGTGCCTAGGCCCTGAGTTCAAGCCACACAACCAACAAAAATAAACACCAAAAAGTTGAAGTGCAGCTGTAGCTCACGGGGTAAAGTGCTAGCATTGGGCAAAAAGCTCAGAGGCAGTGCCCAGACCCTGAGTTCAAGCCCCAGGACAGGCGCATGTGCGCGCACATGCATGCACACACATACCCGCTGAAAGTAGGGCTCAAGCCGTACAGCTCTAAGTTCAATCACCAAACTGCCAGTAAGTAAAAGCAGAAGGGCTTAAGGGTATACCAAATGGCAGAAATTTCATAAGCACAACACTCTAGATTAATCTCTAATACTAAAATGTCTAACATAGATTAGGAAAATGTCTAGCATAAAAAGACTTGAACTTGCCAGGCACCAGTGGCTCACACCTGTAATCCTAGCTACTCAGGAAGCTGCGATCTGAGGATTGCGGTTCAAAGCCAGCCTGGGCAGGAAAGGCTATGAGATTTTTTTGTGTCAGTTGTGGGGCTTGAACTCTGGGCTTGGGCGCTGTCCCTCAGTTCTTCAGCTCAAGGAGAGCGCTCTACCACTTGAGCTATAACGCCACTTCTGGTTTTCTGGTGGTTTATTGGAGATAAGAGTTGCACGGACTTTCCTGCCCGGGCTGGCTTTGAACCTTGATCCTCAGATCTCAGCTTCCTGAGTAGCTAGGATTACAGGCACAAGCCACCGGTGCCCAGCTTGTGAGACTCTTATCTTTAATAAACCACCAGAAAACTGGAAGTAGCTCTGTAGCTCAAGTGGTAGAGTGCTTGCCTTGAGCTGAAGAGCTGAGGGATAGCACACAGGCCCAGAATTCAAGCCCCACAACTGACAAATGACTTTTTTTTCATCTATACTTTAGGGGTATGTAGTTATAAAGTCTTGGAACCATATGCAAACATTGTCCATTCACATATTTTGGGGGAAGAAAGGTTAAAATTATCTTATGCTATGGGGAAAAGTGTGTAGGTTGGGGGAGAGAGGGAAACAGAAACCACAAGCAGAATATTTATACATTTATTTATAATGAAATTATGGTATAATTATTTACAACATATAGGAAACCAGAGGGTAAGTTTGTACAAAGCCAGCCTGCAAAGTATTCAAATGTGCAAAAATGACAGTTCAGTATCTCAAACTACTTCTGGTTCAGCAGACTAGCTTCTTCACTTTCACACATCAATATTTGATACAAAAAAGTTCTTTTGGCAAAACCTGTAATGCCAAGAAAAAAGGACAAGTTGCAATTTCAGTCACTAAGTCCACCATCCTATTGAGCGTTGTCCAATCTCTCTATTTTAGCTGCAACCAGTTCTCAGAGAGACAGACCACTGTGTTTCATTTCTGTGATGAGTTCTGACCAGCTTTAAAAAAGTCAAGTAGTTTCTTTGACCCAGCTGAAGACAAGGAGCATATAAGAGCAATAAAATTAGCAATGGCTATCGAGACAAATGTGCCTTAAAGTGCCAGCTTTGGATCATCCCAATAAAAAGACAATGAAAAAATAGCTTCATTTTTCTATTCAGGATCCAGCTGTATCCAATGATCTTAAATTAGTAAAACAGCATTTTCACAACAGAAAGTACCCAAATGAAATAGGAATAAGGATCTTAAAAGTACTGCAAGGAAAGGATGATCTTAAAAATCACTTCCCCACTAATAAATAGTAAGGCTGTTTATAACAATTTATTATTAAAATTGACCCAACAGTCTTAGATACAAATAAACTTTGTGTCAGAGTTGAGGCTATTCATCTGGAAAAAACTGGACCAGGTCAAAACATATATGGGAATAACCCTGCTGTAATGCTTTGTTGGACAAGCACATTTCACCAACTATTAAAAAGCTTGAGACAAATTTGTGATTCTAAGTAAATTTTAACAGATGTTA